TCCTGCCTCAGCCTCCTGAGTGCTGGGATTACAGGTGTGTGCCGCCACGCCCAGCTCCAAGAAAGAGTGATTTAAAATTATTTTTGTTACTTTATAGAAATATTTTCTACTTTACAGAGATAACTATTGGCTTAACTCATTGAACTTTCTAAAATTATTTTTGTTACTTTATAGAAATATTTTCTACTTTACAGAGATAACTATTGGCTTAACTCATTGAACTTTCTTAAGTCTTCAAAATCCACGTAAATGGAGCACAGAAGGTTTTTTTTTTGGTTGTTTTTTGATGTCTTGTATCAGTTGCTGGCTGTCATGTTCAATAGTTTAAATTTGAAGAAGCCTATATAGTCAAATCTTTACATAAAATGTGTTTCTTGAAAACACTTACCCACCATTGTTTCGTGTTTTATTTTGTTTTGTTTTTGTGACAGGGTCTCACCATGCAGTTCAAACTGGACTTGAATCACAATGTAGGCCAGGCTAGCCATTAACTCATGGCGATCCTCCTGCCTCCGCCTCCCAAGTGCTAGGATTACAGGCATATACCACCATACCCAGCCTTTATCCACCATTCTTAATGTTGGTTGTTTGCTAGATAAAATTATTAAACAAAGAAAAAGATTAATGCAATAATGTGTATTTAAAAGTTTAAAAACTTTTAAAAAGTTGAGCTATAATTTCATACATAAGCAATGGCAGTATTTTTTTTTTTTTTACTTTTTCAAAACAGTCTTCCCGTGTTGCTTAGGCTGGCCTCGAACCCTCAATGTTTTTGCCTCAGCCTCCTGAGTAAGTGGGATTATAGGTATACCACCATGCCTGAGCTGAAGTTATTTAGCCTTTAAAAATATTAGCTGGGCAAGGTGGCACACCTGTAATCCCAGCACTCAGAAGGCTGAGGCAGGAGAATTGCTGTGAGTTTAAAGCTAGCTTGGGCTACATAATGAATTGAAGGCCTACCTGAACTACATAGCGAGATCTTATCTCAGTGGTGACAAACCTGTAACACACGTGTTACTGTGTTTTTCTTTTTAAGACAGACAACACTAATGTAAGAGTTATTTCTCCTTAAAACCTCAGTATTCAAGCCTGGCGTGATGGCGCACACCTATAATCCCAGCACTCAGGAGGCTGAGGCAAGAGGATCGTTGCGAGTTTGAGACCAGCCTGGGCTACAAAGTGGGCTCAAGACCAGCCTGAACTGCATAGCGAGACCCTGTCTCAAAAAAGACAAAAAAAAAAACCAAAACCAAACCTCAGTATTCATGTTTAATTACTGTGTTTGCACTGTGCAATAAGTGAGTGGATTTGAGGTTGCAGTTTGGACACTAATCTCTAAAAGGTTCACCACCACTGGTCTATCTCGAAGAAGAAGAAGGAGAGGAAGGAGAAGAAGAAATTATAAGTAGGCTAGGGAGTTAAGTCAGTGGTAGAGTGCTTACCCAGCATGCATGAGGCCCTTTGCTCAGTCCCCAGCACTCAAAAAAAAAAAAAAGAAAAGGAAAAAATTGCAACAAGCTAGGACATGGTGGTACATGCCTGAAGTCCCAGCACTCAGGAGGATCATGAGTTCAAGGCCAGTCTGGGAAACTTAGTAAGATCTTGTCATAGAAACAAACAAAATGCTACAAGAAATGTCCATCTATTTTAAGTAGAATAAATATTTCCCATGCAGTGTTTTGGGTTTTTTTGTTTGTTTATTTGTTTGTTTGTTTGTTTTGAGACAGGGTCTTGCTGTGTAATTCAGGCTGGGTTTGGACTCACTGTGAAGTTCAGACAGGTCTTGAACTCGAGGTGATCCTCCTAACTCAACCTCCTGAGTGATGGGATTACAAGTGTATGTTACCGTTTCTGGCTTTTTTTTTTTTTTTAATGGAGACAGGATCTCACTATGTAGTTCAGCCTGGCCTTTGAACTCAGTATGGAACCCAGGCTGGCTTCAAACTCAGAATGATCCTCCTGCTTCAGCCTCCAAAGTGCTGGCCTTACAAACATGTACCACTATGCCCAGCTCCCAAATTACTTTTCAGTCATATAAAACAAAGCACTCTTCAGGTTTAGATTGTTAGGAATATCATTCCTATGCTACTGTTGGGAAAAAATTATATATGGGGTGTTAAGCACAAGTCAGTTTCATAATGAGACTTCATATTATAGATCTCTGGCAGATAGAGACGCACTATTTTCTTAGGTCTCTGGAGTTAAAAGGTACAAGAAAAATAGAAAGCAGATGCAAAGGGAAGATGCACATATTATCAACTATCATGTTTCTGTAGTGATGAATAATTGCACCAAGACAAGAAAGGCAGGGGATGCTTTACCTCTAAGGTCATGATCTGAGTACTTCTTTCTGTTTTCATTATCTCTGAATCAGTAATGAAGGCAGAACTTAAAGCTTGCCAGGCATGGTGGCACATGCTTATAATGGCAGGACTTTGGGACGCTGAGGCAGGAGGCTTGCAGGTTCACAAATTCAAACCCAGCTCTAGCAGCTTAATGACTTAGTGAGACCTTCCTTAAAATAAAAAGTGAGTAAGTAAATGAAGGCTGAAGATGTCACTCAGTGTAGAGGCCTTGGTTCAATCTCAAGTACTATAAAATTTAAAGCTTTAGTTCCATCTATCTTTCTGAAGAACACGGATATTTTGGGGCAGAAAAGCTGTATTTAGTCCCACAATATCCTGCCATTTTCAGAGAATGTCTTTTGCAATGATTCATGATCAAACCCATCGATTGCTGGAGCCCTGAGAGTTTTAATTCAACCCTCAGGTCTTACAGATTTGACTTGTTCAGGTCATCGTGACGGTTGGCATTTCTTCTTGTTGCTGTTAATTTTATTTTTTGTTTGGTGCTGAGGACTGACCCGGGGCCTCTCACATGCTCTGCCCCTGAGCTACACCCAATCGCCCGTCAGTTGAAATGTATTCTTTGGCTTTCCCTCCAAGCGGAGTCGAGCACGGTTTGGTATGACTGGGCGAAGCCTTCGCACACACAGCTTCACTCTGACTGCATGCAGCACCTGACGGAGGCCAAGGCCAGGAGTAAGAACGGGGTCCAGGGTGTCCAGCACCTGATCCAGCGCCTGCGGCTCGTCAAATCTCCTGCAGAAATCGAGAGAATGCAGATCGCTGGCAAGCTGACATCGCAGGTACGGTTCCTATTGAAAAAGGCTTTTTCCAGATTACAAAAACCACTCGAAAGACAAAGAAATACAAATCACAGACATTGGTTGACAGACATTGGTTGACATTGGAGACCAAAGTTGGTCCTTCAGTTTTTTCACTGCATTCATCTTCAGTCACTTACATAGGGTGTCATTGAACAGCAGCAGGTCCTACTTCAGTTTGCTTCCAGAATTGCCATACAGATTTCCAGTAACAGTCCCTCTAACCGTAGCACTCAGGAGGCTAAGGCGGGAGGATCGCTGTGAGGTATAGGCCAGTTTGAACTATATAGTGAGACCTGGCTCAAAAAACCAAAAAAAAAAAAAAAACTAGAAAACAAAGCAGTTCTCCACATACATGACCCTTTTCCTGTTCATTTATTTATGGTTCACTTGTTACACTGATTTCAAGTCTAATTGACAATAGCACAAGTCATTGTTTACCCAAATTAGAGCTTTTATTTATGTTCAGTTCCTTTATCATGCTATAAATGCAGCCTATAATTCAACCCAGTTTTCCACCGTGTTCTTTTTTTAAAGTTTTTTAGTACCTGCTTGCAGCACATAATGGTCACATTTGTCCCAGGGAGCTGATGCATGCAGACAGCACATTGTGTTTCCATCTCTCTCCCCTCCCTCCTCTTAAGCGGGTTTTTTTTTTTAATTTCTTCCCTAAGGAGCGTGCCTTTTGCTGGACTCTGAACATCTGCTTTCCATACAAAGTTTTCCCTCATTTTTGTAGCTGGCGTATGTGAACCAGACCAGCTGCCTGGGCAGCCTTCAGTAGTTGACTGAAAAGAGGGATGGGGGGAGGCTGCTTGCTAATGAATCTAATGAGTCTCGTGGATCTTCCTGATAACAGGTTCCATATAGCAAATGCATTTTCCTTTTTTCATTTTTTGAGACAAAATCTCATTATGTAGCCCAGGCTGTCCTTAAACTTGTGGTGCTCCTCCTGCCTCAGCCTCCCAAGTGCTGGGATTAAAAGGTATGTACCACTATGCCCAGCTGGGCATTGACTTTGTAATTAGAGTGCCTTTCTAACATCACCATCACTGATGTGTGTTTTGGATCTATCTTAGCCTAAGAGGGGCTGGGGATTTAGCTCAGCGGCACAGCGCTTGCCTGGCAAGCACAAGGTCATGAGTTCAATTCCCGGTACTGGAAAACAAAACAAAACAAAACAAAACAAAACAAAAAACTATCTAGTTCTATCTTAGCCTAAGAGCCTGTAACTCATCGAGAAGCAGTTATAACTTTTGTTGGATGCTGCATTTGGCCTGAGTGTGGGCAGTGTATTTGTGTGTGTGTGTGTGTGTGTGTGTGTGTGTGTGTGTCTTTTTGGTAGAGGGTCTCACTATAGTTCAGGCTGGCATTGAACTCACTAGGTAGCCCAGGCTAGCCTTGAACTCACAGCAGTCCTGTCTCAGCCTCCCAAGTGCTGGGATTACAGGCACGTGCCACCACGCCCAGCTAATCATGGTGAGTTTTTTAATTGGGATCAAAACTTTCCTCCAGTGAAGTATATGACTTCTTTAGGTCAAATAGGCCCATTAGGTCAGTGACAGCAAACTTTTTAGAGACCAAGTGCCCAAACTGCTACCAAAACCCACTTATTTATGACAAAGTGCCAACACTGCAATTAAACCTGAATGCTGAGGATTTAGTTTAGGAAAAACAACACATGTGCCATAGGTTTGCCACCACCAACCTAGGTATTGAGCTTCTTTGTTTCAGAGGCAGGGGATAACAGTTTATTCCTAGCAGTATGCGCTATGTCACAGATGGCTCCAGCCCAAGAAATTCCTCAAACTTCATAGTCTGTGCATTGCCCTGAATATTTATTTAGCAAGGTTAAACATGTTTCCTAGTCTTCCGTGTGATTTATAACCTTAGTGAAGTTGCTTGTAGCTTGGTGTCTCCAGTTTCAGATGGTGATAATAGTATCATAAACTTATGGGAATGTCCTGTCTAGTTGTTTTAAAAGGTATAACCTGGTGTTGTAGCACATGTCTATAATCCAAGCACTCTGGGAAACTGAGGTAGGAAGATGTTAAATTTGAATCTAGCCTGGGCAAAGTAGTGACTTAAAGAGACCTTATCTCAGGCTGAAGCAGGAGGATCATTGCAAGTTCGAGGCCAGCCTTGGCTACAAAGTGAACTCAAGGCCAGCCTGAACTGCATAGTGAGACCTTGTTTCAAAAAGACCCTGCCTCAAAACAAAAAAATTTTAAAAAGTATTGAGGCTGTAGCTTGGTGCACAGGCCCTGGATTCAGTCCTCAGTACTATAAAAATAAAGAATACAAAAAAAAATAAGAAAACATAGTTACTACATCGGTCATATTAGATCTAGGTCTCAACAGATTATGACAGTACACAGGTAAGTTTAATTTTATTTGTGTATTGGTGCTATAATTGAACCCAAGGCCTCATGGATTCTAAGCACTTGGGCTGCCTCTGATGGATATCCCTTGTGCCTTAAATATCCTTGAGGTGATACTATAGACATATTTGAAAATATTCACAAATGCAGGCTGTTACAGGCTCTTTCTGGAGACTATGAGGAAAATGTATCAGCCCGGTCAGAGCAAAAAGCCAGGCACCATTAGTTCCTTTTTATTTTTTATTTACATAATTACATAATTAATTATGCACAGTACTTACAACTTTCAGGTTTTATAACTAGAATGAAACAGTTAAGACTGTAAATGTGTGGGGAAGTTGGCATTTTGTTATATCACACTTCAAAAATTTCGAAGACATATCCATTTCCTGAGCTGCCATTGCTCACTGGCCCATTTATCTCCACAACCCTTCTAGGGGCCCAGATCTCTAGGAATGGAAGACTCATGCACTGAAAGATATCACTTTTTACCCCGGTAGAAACTGTCAGCAAGCTTGGACTGTAAACCCCCACACCAAAGCCCCGTTCACTCTCCAGCCCTGAGACAACAGATCCTGGTCTCCCTCACCTTCACTGTCAGCATCCTCCTCTTCCAATGTCTGTCGTTCTTTTATTATCAAAACCTCTTAAAGCTTACTTTTTATTTCATCCTGGCAATTCTGCAGCTTTTCCCCCCAGCTAAATACTATCTGTACATCAGTCTCCCCAGTCTGGTGGTTCAGCCATCCCTCCTCATTCTCTTAAGCAGCTGTCGCCCAGAAGAGCATTGACCTGCCTGATGGTTTTTTAAATCCATCCCACTCTTTCTCCCTGATCCTCCGTGATATCAACCTTTCATATCTTTGCAGCTACTTCAGAGTGGTCCAAAACTCCTTCAAGTAATGCTTGTGTCGTCTTTTCCTTACATTCCACCATTTTTTCACGTTTCTGCTTTTTCTGTTGACCCTGGTGAGGAATTAAGGGGGTCTTGGGAGGATTTGTTTCTTTAAAGGAGCCACTGGCAGCACGCTACTTGCTGACCCCTGTGAGGAGGAAGTGAACTTCACTGTGTTGAGTAGCTGTTGGCGTTGTCTCTCTTCTCCTTTTGCTTATGGTCATACAAGGAGTAAAAGTATCTCGGGGTTTCCTGGGGTTGCTCTGCAGACTCCTTCCATTTTTATCTGAGAAGACACAGCACACATGGAGGCAGAACCCAAGACACCAAAGAAGCATTTGTTCTCTTGGCATCTTGGTTGTCAGCCTCCATGCTCCCCTCTATGACAGAGGTGATATGCTCAGGATCACTTTCCACTTGGTCCCCTTGTCTGGAGCTTTCCTAGGACGCACGTCGGCTCCAGTAGTCTTTTTGAGACAGGGTCTTGCTATGCATTTCAGGCTGGTCTTGAGCTCACTTTGTAGCCCAGGCTGATCTCAAACTCGCAACAATCTTCCTGCCTCAGTTTCCCAAGTGCTGGGATTACAGGTGTGCGACACTATGCCCAGCTCTCCAGTAGCCACTCCTAACTGCAGTGTGATGTAGGGCACAGCTCAGTGGCCCAAACTGGGCAAGTGGAGATTCTGCCCCTTCCCCATTAGTGCTCAGACACACTGCTTCTTCGTCAGCCACTGCATCAGTTTCTCCATCTCCTACTTCCCCAAGGCCCAATGGAGTCAGGAGCATAGCAGTCAGAGGTCGCCATCTTTGCCCCAGACCTACGGCAGTTCTGTCCTTCAGCTTGCTGTCTTCAGGAGCTGCTGAGGCTCTCAGTGCTGTCCATCAGCCTTCCACCCTGGCCACTGGGCTTGGCTGCATGAAGATATGGATGTTCCTACAGATGACATCGGACATTCTTACTTAGGGCAGATTTCTTGCTGCCTTCTGGGGTTATTCATCTCTTCATTGCACCTGGTGGCAAGAGAATTTACATTCACATTACATCCTCGTCAGTTATACATGCCGGCAAGAAACACCACCATAGTATACATTTATCACTCATTCCAACATTTAACCAGGCTTCACTTTTTATATTTGCACAGCAGTGCCTCCACGTCCCCTGAATCAGTCCTGTCAACTCTGGAGACTCATTAGCAGGCCCATGCTGTACCCTACACTTGTCTGTCACCTTGCCTGGTGGATTCCTCCTGTTGGAGTTCATAGAGTTGTAGTCCTTGTTATCTCTTTCTAGAATGTCCTTCAAAACATTTTGGAGTGTTGGTTTGATGGTCATAAATTTCCTCAGATATTCTTTGTCATGGAAATATGTTATTTCTCCATCAGTTTTGAAAGATAGTTTTGTGGGGTACATCATTCGGGGTTGAAGGTTGCTTTCCTTTAGAATTTGAAAAACTTCACTCCAAACTCTTGACTTGAGGGCTTCTGCTGAGAAATCAGCTGTGATTCTGATGGGCTTTCCTTTATAGGTGATTTGTTTCTTTTCCCTAACAGCTTTTAAGATTTTATTCTTGCGTTGAATTTCTGAAATCTTGAGTATGATATACCTGGCTGTAGAATTTTTTTGATCATGGCTAATTGGAGTTCTGTATGCCCCACTTAGCAGTAAGTCAAATTCTTTTTCTTTACCAGGAAAGTTTCTGGCCTTG